CCCCAAAACCCCAAAACCCCAAAACCCCAAAACCCCTGACCTTGAAATCAATAAGTTTAGGAGGTAAATAAATACGTATTATATGTAGATTTATAATATCAATCAAATGTTTAAGAAGATACTAGGACTACTTTTGATATCTGTCTTTGTAGTATTAGTTTTGGATGTTTTACTTCTATAATGGATCTACAAACCAGTGACAGAGGGTACTTTGTACCTCTCAAACGCAATGGGAGAAGCAGAGGTATTGAGAGAAACTGAAACAAGTATTCCTCATGTTTATGCTAGTTCTGAGTTAATGGCAGTCTACACAGAGGGATTTATCCACGCTCAAGAAAGACTGTGGTAGATGGAGCGTTTAAGGAGAGTCGCGCAAGGGGAGCTAAGTGAGTTGTTTGGAGAGAAGACAATTGCCATAGATACATTCTTTAGACACGTAGGACTTCAAAAGGCAGCTCGTGAGTCTCTACCAAACTTGAGTCCTGAGTCTAGTCTGATATTTTAGGCCTATGCTGATGGAGTTAATGACTACCTATCAAATGTCAAGTTTCCAAATGGTTAAACTGGAAAGATGCTGCCCCCAGAATATATTCTATTAGGCATTTCTGAGGTAAGACCATGGACACCAATTGACAGTTTAAGTATCCTTAAGATGCTTAATTTCCACTTGAGTTGGAACTGGAATCAAGATATGATGCGTGAGCTATTAAGTATCATCGGGCTAGAAGATATGGTTGAAATTATATACCCATTTAATGCAGATTATGCACACAATCTAGTAACAATCGTTGGAGATGAAGATATTCAGGGAACTAGATTCTGGTCAGATGCCACTTTATCAGAGAGATACCACAAGACAAGAGGAACCTAACCCAAGCTAACTCAAGCTTAGCAGAACAGAGCTGAGGAAAAGGCTAGAAAAGAAGAGGAGAAATTGAGACAAGAGGAAGAAAAACTTAGATTGGAGCAAGAAAGATTGAGATAAGAAGAAGAGAAGAGATTACAGGAAGAAGAAAGGCAGAAATAAGAGGAAGAGTAGAAGAAGAGATAGGAAGAAGAAAGATTAAGGCAAGAGGAAGAAAAATAAAGATAAGAGGAGGAAAAGAAAAGATTGGAGTTAGAAGAGAAGAAAAGATTAGAAGAGGAACAAAAGAGATTAGAAGAGGAAAGATTGAGAAAAGTGAAAGAAGAATAAGAGAGAGTTTAAAAGGAGAAAGAGGAATAAGAAAGAAAGAGAGCTGAAGAGGAGGAAAGATAAAGAAAGGAAGCTGAGAGAAAGCAAAAAGAAGAAGATGAGAGAAAAGCTAAAGAATAGGAGACATAACGATAAGTTGAAGAGGAACGCTTGAGGAAAGAGGCTGAGGAAAAAGTTAGATTATAGAAGGAATAAGAAGAAAATGAGAAAAAAATCAAAGAAGAATAGGAGCGCAAATTGAAGGAAGAGGAAGAAGAAAGAAGAATCTAAGAGGAGAACAAAAAGAAATAGGAAGAAGCTAAGCGTTAAGAGGAAGAGAATGAGAGAATCAAGTAAGAATAACTCGAGCAAGAAAGGATTAAAAAGGAGCAAGAGGAGTTAGAGGAAAAGAGGAAAGTAGAAGAAGAGGAGAAAGCTAGATAGCAAAAGGAGGCTGAAGAAAATGAAAGACTCAGAAAGGAAAAAGAGGAATAGGAAAGAAAACAGAGAGAATTTGAAGAATTACAAAGAAAGCAAAAAGAGGAAGAGGAACTCTAAGAGAAGAAAAAGCAAGAGGAGGAAGATGCTAGAATCAAGAAAGAACAAGAGGAAGAGAGATTGAGAATCTAAAAGGCAGAAGAAGAGACACTTAGATAGGAATAATTAAAGCTAGAGGAATTATAGAAATAACAGCAATCTCAGAAAGCAGAGAAACCTGCAGAGTAAGATTAAGAAGCAAAAAAGGAGGAAGTGCTTCCACCACAAATGGACTAGATGATCCATCTTGATGAATCTCAAGCTAGTAATAACTGGGTAATTCACGGAAATTATACTAAAAACGGAAAGCCACTCCTCGCAGGTGATCCTCATCTTAGCAATTAAATTCCTTCTCATTGGTACTTAATGGAACTCAACTATGATGGTAAATACGTCATTGGAGCTACTCACCCAGGTATTCCATTAGTAATGATGGGTAAAACTAACAATAATGCTTGGACTACTACCTCTGCACTTACTGATCTTGCAGATGTCTATGAAGAAACTATTTCTCCAAACAAGAAACAGTACAGAGTAGATGGCGAATGGAGAGATTTAGTTTAAAGAGAAGAAATCATAAAGATTTAGGGACAGGACCCACTTAAACTCACAATAAGTCATACTCACAGAGGACCAGTTATACCAAATTAAGTGTTCTAAGGAGCTGAAGTATTCTTCGGCGAAGGTAATGCTCATCTTAAAACTGATGGACAATATTCCTTTGCATGGACTGGCCACACTCCACAAGAAAATACTATGGACAATGTTAGAAATCTAATGAACTCAGACAATCTCCATGACATCTTGAAAAACATTGATGATAAAGGTTATTATTCTGTACCTTAAAACATTCTAATGGCAGATAATAAGGGGAATATCGGATATTACCTAGGAGCGATGATGCCAAAGAGAAGAAATCAAACTCCATTCTCTGGATGTAGGGTCCTTGACGGCAGCAATTCAGATAATGACTGGGATGGCCTGCATGATTCCAAAGACCTGCTCAGAGTTATAAATCCTAAGAAGGGCTATATTGTCACAGCTAACAATAGACCAGCTCCTGAACACTCCCTTTTCGACATTGGTGCTACCTCAACATCAACAATCAGAGCTCAAAGAATTACTGAGCTCATTCAAGCAGGTATTGACAAGGGCAATAAATTTGACCACAAAGATATGATTCACATTCAAAACGATACAGTTGACCTTATGGCAAGAGATCTCATGCCTCATGTATTGAGAATCGCTAATAACTTTAAGAGTCAGCTCAATGCCACTGAGCAGCAAAAGGCCTAACAAGCTATCGACAAACTATTGTTCTGGCACGGAGAAATGCATGAGGAAAGCGTTGGAGCTACTATCTATGCAGTTTGGCAATTTAAGCTATACAAGACATTATTCCACAAGTTTTCAGATGACAATGAAGTGAGACTGCTAATAACATCGAATTATCCATTCAACGACTTCATTCAAAGAATGATTAGAATCATCGATCAGGAGCCAGAGAATTCTGATCTTAACCAAATTTGTGAAATGAAAGATTCTTCATACAGAGGCAAGAGCTCCTGCTCATTTAATATTGCTAAGGCATTGGCTGAAGCTATTGATTTCTTGACTGTTGAAATATCATAGGATCCCAATGACTGGAAATGGATGAATGTCCATGTAAATGAGTACCCCAATATGCCTTGGAGTATAACACCATTAAAGTTCTTATTCCATAGAGAAACTCCGATTGGAGGAAATTCTAATACAGTCAAAGTATCAAAATACAGCATGAAGAAACTAGATAAGCTCAAAACATTCAAGTCATGGGCAACCCCTAACTATAAAACAGTTGTGGAATACGCTGAGGATCCTTTCGATGAACTTATGCTATACTCTCATGATGGAGGCCAAAGTGGAAATTTGTTTGCTGGGCATTATCACGACTTCTAAAGTGGACACTCCATTGGTAAACTTTTAAAGGGTTTCTATGGCAAAGCAGCAGTTGAACAAATAGCCCATCAAAAATTATATTTCAAAAAAGACACTGAGTAAAAACTTGAGGAATTATCTTAAGAGCAGTAGCATCATCATCATAGTCATGCACATCACAATCATCAAGATCATGATCATAGTGACCACTCACATGGCCATCATCACGACCACAATGATCATCATCATGAACATGCTCACTCACATCAGAAAACATAAAGAAAAAACAATAATCAAAGAAAGAACAAGGCAGATGAACTTTGAATCAAATTCTAATTGTTTTCTTAATAATTACTACTATTTAAATTCTAACCCTACTATAATAATCATTCATATTAGTCATGGGGTTTTGGGGTTTTGGGGTTTTGGGGTTTTGGGGTTTTGGGG